ATTTGGGTTGAAGTGAAACCCTAATTTCTTTTTTGGTATCTGTTAGTTCAATAAAAAATAGGACCAAAGCATACAGGGTTAAAAGGGTAATTTGTTAACATTTACCAAACAACAATATTTCATTCAGGACTTAACCATTCTGACCCTCTTAACCATTCTGACCACTTAGCCATTCTGCACCAAACCATTCAGCAAGCCATTCTGCACCAAACCATTCAGCAACTGCCAAACAGCCCCTTATATATGGTACATAGATTATGCCGATTCTTTGTTTGACTAAACAGCCAAATGGTAGGGTTACACATTGAAAAACCTAACTACATTGAAATCCATGTGGCTTCAGATAATAGTACTAGAATTGTATGCTACTAACTATGTTTATCCATCAATACCACACTAACCGCTTTCCTATTTGTCATGTTTTTGAGGATTAATTAACTATAGAATTACAAGATTAATAGGATTGAAAACCAAAATTAAGCAGGTTGACATTTAAAAAAAATCAAGTGGAGAGCGAGAGAGAATAAGAGATGTACCTCAACAAAACCGGTCATTTTAAGGAGAGAAATGCCATAGCGGATGAACATCCGTATCGAATTAGCGAGGGAGACTAAATACTGAACCAGCTGACTCTTTGACTTGGAGTCAATAGTTTTGAATACAAACTGTTGGCCGTCCCAGATGCCGAGCGAGAAAGAATTTTCAGAAGGCGAAGGCCCCTTGACTTTGAGATTCAACATGTGCGTGAAGTTCAAGGCGTGGTAGTTCTTGGGATGAAGAATTGAGGCGCCGGCTTCAAATGTTTCTCCGGCGATGGTGACTGTTGCCATACGGCCTCCGACGACTGGATGACGCTCGAACATGCGGATTTGAGCGATGGTCGGGGAGTATTGGCGGAGGAAGTGAGAGACAGATGAGCCGGCGATGCCGGTACCAATGATGCATACATCAGCAGTAGTTTGGGGTTGTTGATCGGAAGAAGATGATGATGGGATTGTGAGAGAGAAAAGCGAGAGGATTATGAGAACAGCAGTGAACATGTTGCTGCAGAACCCACCGTCGGCGATGAATGGAACCGGAACGGAAGTGCTCAACTCATCCACACTATATTAATTATATTAAAATATTTTGTTGTCTTTTAACACTTCTCTAAAATTTATAAAAAATAATAATAATAAATAAATAAATCGATCTCCCCTGCTTTGGGAGTAGTTCAGAATCATCGTATTTAAACCTCCGTAGCTATAAGTGATTTTTTATTCCTTCTTTAATTTGAACATGATACTTATAAACACATTTGACTTTTGAAATTCAAACTTAAACCAATCAGATGTCACTTTTATGAACTACAAAGTTTTTATGTTTTCTTTATTTTTAAAAACAATATAAAACATTTAATAAAGCAAAACAAATAATGAAATTACTTTACCTTTATTTTAGAAAAATTGTAAACCAAATTTAGGCTATGTTACTTCAATCTATTTTGAGGGTCGTTTACCTAACCACTTACCCGATAAGCATTTATCGATAAAATGCATAATTATTGCTTACTTACCGTATAAGATTTCAATAGCCAATAGATCACCAATTCGAGTCGACTGATTCCAATAGGTCACCAACTCGAGTCTGCTTACAATTAATAAGGTTTGTCTTATGAGTTAGTTATCTTCAAAGCCATTGAGATTAATCAAAATACATGCAAAATGGCCCAAAAACTAAGATATACAGAAAATAAAAATAAAAGGCCCAATTAATGATTGAGACAAAAACACACAAAATAAAAGAATCCAACAAGTTAAAGAAATCCCAGAAACAGACAAAGACTAACCACTACTAACATCTGCTATTTGACTTATAAAACACCTTCTATCCGCTTTGTCTTTTTCTTTTCTTCTTCATTCTTGATAACAATAATATCCTATCTTTCACATATCACTGCTTTGTATAATAAAAACAAAACAAGTCTCATTCAACATATATATACTTTCACCATGGCCGCTACACCATAGATCAAATCCCCGCACCGCACACATCAAATCCTAAACATCACCCCACATAATAACCTCGTTTGGTTCGTATCAGTCACTGAAGTCGAAACTGTCGCTGCGAGAACTGCTGGCGTTTCGACTGTGTAAAGAGAGACCCCTCATGTGACCACCAAGACCTGAACCATCCGCTTTGTTTTCTTGAAAGAATTTCTCCCTTTCAACGTGTTTTGCAGGCGGTGGTGGGATCGACACGGCTGCAGCCGGTCTGGTTGTAATTGGTCCTTGTTTTGGCTCCAAACTGATCGGCCTAATAAGTGGTCGGTTAAGCCTGTCGGCTGGAACAGCAGATCCTAGTAATCCTAAAGGCCGATCTGTTTGATGGTTCTCAGCCTCGGGTCTTACACAAGCTTTTCCTTTTCTCATCCTGTATTAAAGAATCAAAATGTGAGCATATGACTTACCAGAAATGGAAATATCAAGAAGCCAATTAAGTTACGCATAGCACATACCTTCTGAAGAGTTGTTCAGGATCCTCTTCTTCGGCATCTTCGTGGTCAACTTGGGTTGCTGTAAGCGTTGATCTGCCGGAAACAAGGGCTTCGTGTCTTGAAAGTGCCTGCTGGAGCTGATCATTTAACTCAATTGCTTGAGATATTGATTTCTCATCCCTAAGACAAGCAAGCAAATATCAACTAAAGGTATGATTTGGATTATTGATATGAATTTAAATATTTCTTTAGTTTATCTTTTCTTGTTTTCTTTACATACAATACAACATATTTGTACATGAACATAAATATGCACCTTGCATTCTATTGCTTCAGCCACACAAGGATGACTTACCGAGAAGTAACTGCAAGATGCATTACTCGTTGTTTATGAAATGAACATTGTTCGACAAGATCCAGGGTGAACTCATCCTTGGCTTGCTGTAATTAACAATGAGATGACAATTAACACCAACATCAACAGTAAATCATCAAATATAGCAAGGTTCACATGGACAAAACATCATTAAGAAATTATCAACCACCCTGAAAAAACAGAATCCAACTTTCAATTTAAAAAAGATCAGAAAATCAAGATGATTGTGTCGTGAAGAAATTAGATAATGCTTATGCCACTAATGGCATCAAATTAAGATAAGCCTCTGTATATTCTGACTTTAGGAGTCTTGTAAGATGATAAGCATGAACGTTAAAACGTTAGATAATACTTCAATCCACGAACCTCTGGATATCGGGTATCAATGGCATCAAGGACATCTCTTAAGACTTCTAATGCAGATCCAGCTTTTTGAATGATACTGTTCAAAGAAAGATGATAACAAACTTTTAGAAGCATGCGAGTAGAACAATTATAACCCACAAAACATAATAATAAGCCTCATTTTTTAAGGAATCCTCTTGGTGTGTTTCTTCCCCATTTCCGCACTGCAGATTTCACCTCTCCTTACTGAAGTTATTTCTACATGAGAATATTGGAATAAAAGTTGGGGGTTGATAACCGTAGAAGTGTTGGAAACATTTAAAGAGGAGATATTGAGAACCTCACATTTCCCAGAGAATGCTTCATGGGCTGAGGTGGAGACTAGAACGTTTTTTGGAACCCAGATTAAACTTTTCAAATATCTAGGAATACTTGGGGTCGTCAAATCTGAGTTACAGCTCCAGGGCTCCAGCCACCAGAAGTAATTTTCTTCTAGATTGAGAAGTTCCATTGAACGGTTCTGATGAGAGAATCCCATGTTTTTGTGCATCGGTGGAGACTGATAGGACTGGAAGTTTATACACGATGCAGATCAACTTAGTAGATCCAAATAAGAACACCTACTCAACTATTGCACCAATTGGAATGGTTACTTTGAAGATTTTTCGTGACAGCACTTGCATTTCAAGGCTAATAAACAGTTCACACTCACATGAAGAGAATGGCTCACAGATTTTAACAGAAAATTTGCAAATAATTTCAAGGTCTATGCACACATCTTGCTAGAAACTAAGGAACCTAAAAACGATCTTCAGAGTAGATATGAATGAACTAGTGTTGAACCAAGACTGTGATCCTGTCAGAACTCATGAGAATAAAGAAGATAAAGAGGATATACTAAAAGACTTGCAATCAATGATTAATCTCAAATCCCTCTCAGAAACAGAGATCTTCTTCGGTGATACTTTACAGCTCCGAGAGTATAAGATTCATTCCAGAAAGCAGATTGCCATGTCTCTAGGAGATAAAAACAAATTGAGGTGTTGGGGAAAATTATGAAAATTAATGGAAGGGGATAGAGGGTGGGTAAAATAAAAGGCAGGATTAAAATGAGATATCGTGTTAAGGAAGGCACAAAAGCTATAAGAATAGCATACCTGGGATACTAAAAGGGTCGAGCAACTATATTAGTCCTTTTCGTTCCCCGGTGAGAACCTACAACACTCTGATGTTCTTGACCAATTGTGTCTAAGTTGTTTTCAAGATCAGGAGTCTTGTAGTACTTAAAGAGACATTATGGGGGTGAGTGGATAAAATTTCCCATCTTGACAATTAAATGCAAATGAGATCAACATGCTTCCACCATTTTTGAGTACAAGGTGTAGTTCCAAGTTCCATAACAAGGAACAGTAAGAAAAGATAGCAACATATACCTAGATTCAGGAACGGCTTGTGGGGCGGTCGGTGGTGCACTCCTGTCATTTCCAGTGGTAGCAAGTTCCCCGTTACTTGAGTTGCTTTTACTGCTGTCTGAAGTTGAATAATTTTTTGGGAGAACTTCGGGTCTCTGGGAAAATTGTACTCCAGCACTCTGACATCCCAACCAGTCAGAAGATGAGGTGACAATCATTCACAAATCTCTAATGAAATTAAGTTTCTACAACCAATAGATGTTCAAACTATGGAAGACAGAGAATAATGAAATGCGGGAAGTGATGCAACTATAAGAATGATACAACAAAAGACGACGTATATATACCTACCACCAAATCATAGTATGCAGAATAGTACTGAGGAAACTTCCCAGAAGCTCCACCAAGGGATGTCTGTGTAGCATCTAGAAGAAGAAATATTTTCTCCCGTACAGGTAGATCAGAGTTGGACTGGAAGAGAAAAAAAATTAACAAAAGAAAATGAAACACTATATGCATAAATCCGGATTAAATGTAGCATAAAGGTTCTAATTAAAAGATTTGCCATACCTTTTTCTTGACTAATTTCACAAGTAGAGGGAGGATCCCGGTGTCAATCACTTGTGTATGAATTGGTTCTCCAATATTATTCATCAACACCTCTAGCAACTGAAAGAAAATGATCATGAAATGCCAACATATAGTCAGAAATATCATAATCCTCGGAGATGTAAACGCCAATGGCCAAAACAAGATTTGGGTATAGAAATGCTCGAAAGAGTAACATGTTCAGCACAAACACGCATAACTCACCATAACAGCAAATAGTTGAGTATCTTTGTTCTTACTTCCCAGGCGCTTTTTGATGGCTTTAATGACATCTCTAGCTTGCCTGTAAATTCAAACAGATTTTCAGGTTTTATCCAATTGTATCATATGCAGTCTTTTAATATGGTTTTACGGGAACACGCAATTATTGATCTTTTTACAAGTACATGTAAATCATTTGACCCCTACCCCAACTGAAAACTCCTTTCAAGAGGGAGTGGTCGGCAAAACGTCATCCATCACAAGCAATGTATAAGTTAAGGGAAAATGGCAACAGCAGTAGCCACAGACAAAGAAGCCAGAAAATAGGTTTCAAAACATGGTTGATATGTAGGATACTTTTTAAAATGCTATATTGCTATGAGATTTTTATGGAAAAGATGCCTGCATATTTAATCACGAGTATACAAAATATCTATTTTTGATACCACACTACACCTGAACAATGAACACGCATAGGGTTCTATTTGCAGAAGACAAGGGATAAGAGACATAGGGCTAAAGAGAGAGCCAAAAAAGGATCGTTCGTGTATATTCCTACATAATCTCGAATGTTCTCAGTTCCGGCACGTAGACCAAATAAGACAATGCAAGCAAAAGTTCCTAGATTCATGGAGATAWAGAACAGCATATAAGTTATCATGCTTGCATATCCATCATTTGAGTCTCCAACAATTATTCCAATAATTACATATCCGATTTGAGCTATGGACGAATATGCAAGCATACGTTTCATGCTTGTTTGAGTAATAGCAATGAGATTCCCCAATATCATGCTAAGAATAGCTAGGATTTCCAGAAGAAGATGCCATTCGTTTGATGAGAAATAAAAAGGAATATCGAAAATTCGAGTGGCTGAAGCTGAAGCAGCTACTTTCAAAGTAACAGAAAGAAAAGCAACGACTGGAGTGGTAAAGAAAAGGTGATCGTACAATCAGGAGAATTTATTTTGTTTCTCAAAGCCCCAAGAAAAAATAAAGGAGACGTAATTTCGACATTAAGGTTTAAGCCTGAACATTGGTTGATTAGGCAATTACTTGACCAGTTATGACTTGATTGATGAAGATACGGCTTTAGAAAAGGAAGGTAGAACATAACTTGGCATATTAATATTACGAACAAGAAACCTTTTATTCAAAATTAGTTGCTGTCGGCTTAAATGAAACCATTAAGCAACCCCCTTAAGAAAGTTGTGGTTGGTTTCTTTCTCTTCTTTTCCTTTTCTCTTCCCTCCCTCCTTCTCGGGGTTCCTTGGTCCTTTCTGGTGGATGTGGTTCGCCCCCACCCGAGCGCGTATTTTGTTCCTGTTTATGGTTTTTTTACTTGATAGGAGGGGTCTCCCACCACCATATCAAAAAAAAAAAGCAAACATAAAAAAGATCAAGCCACCACTCCCGCCCCCAGTTCCAGCACTTGAACATCTCCCTCTATGCACTCCTATCTAATTCAAACTCCTCAGGCGTACTCCACTAATTTGAGTTTCTCTTCACTGTAGCCCAAGTCCCAACCATGGACAACCTACACCCCTCTTCAAGACCCAATTCGAAATACAAGTGAAGAGCATGTGTCATGCCTTTCTGTGGAAAATCAATAACCCAGATCACAAATTAGTGCTAATATGAACAAATCCAAAGATGCCAAGTCATGTGGAAATGCACATGCTTTTCGGTAGATCATAAGGCCAACTCGAAAACGGATAGTAAGAAAGATGCAGGAAAAATAAAAGTAAGCAAGTAACTAAAGGTGCAAGGATGTAAATCCCGCACAATTCCAATTCTAGAGGTAGACAAAAATTCAGTAGAAAACCACAAAAAAGGACAATAATAACATAAAAGCTCTAAAGAAGGTCCCGCATCTTTCAGTCTCATGAGGCGTAGGGTGTACTATATATTTTACAGTTTTACCCTAAAGTGTGCCAACCTTATGCTGTATGGAGCTAAATAAGCATCTTCTGTTTCCTGGGGTAGAACTTCATAGACATTTACTCTCCTCTATCTTGGCATGCACATTAAATTTACATGCTGCCTTATAGACATTTTTCTAGTTCTCTTATATTATTTCCTGCAAATCTTCGTTCCATATAGAAGCAAACTCTCCATATTTATAAGCAACATTTCCGTCAACGATCTTACAACAAACATGGAGGGCAGTCAATATAGTCAAATCATGCTGTCTTAATCCACATGAAGTGTAAATAAAAGAGAAAATTTGGTGTGGATTAAACTAAAGGAAAAAAAATATGTCCATTGAGACCCTTTTATATCTCATAAGTAATTAACACACGGGTATAATAACAAAAGTTGTCTCATGTAATCTGCGACAGCACATAGCAAAGATAATATATGTAGTAAAATGATATCAAATATATTATATGTGTGTGCATGCAAGAGATAAAATATAATGAAGCTTAACATCATGTTTGTGGAAGTTTGGCGTGAGTACCAATTCACCCATTTTAGGATATTTCTAAACAACACACCCACAAACAGGAAGATAAGCATTGACTTTTACCTATGATCACGTGTGACTAGTTCACAAATTTGAATGCTTTTGGTCCAATCCATTTCTGAGAGTTTTTCGCTTGTTGCCGCATTAACAAGTTCAGCTGCCATGTCTAACAGTATCTGAGGTTAACAACAAGCAATTAAGAAAGTTCACCACTAACCATCTTTACCCTATGAGAAATACATACATATATAAAAGAAAACCAATCATAAGGACGGTGCTGAGTATTTTGCCAGATAGTATCCAGTTGATACACTTTGACTTGCAGAACGTGACCACATACAGAGACAACTAATGTAAAACCTGTAGTGACTCTCGGTTAAGAATCATTCATACAACTAGATATAAGAAGAAGAAAACTACAACCGAGAAAGCAGATTTTGAAATAATGTGATCTAATCATTTCCTTGGGTGATCTTTTATCGTAAAACAAGAAATGAGTTGTAGGGCTGCCAGAAGATAGGGTTAAGTCCATCAAAAGGTCCCCAGCTTCTCAGTGAAATCGCTACAATTTCCATTTTTCAAACATCCTATATTAATAGCAATGTTTCCTGTTTGTAGAAGATTATAAACTAAATAAGCATCTTTACACTTAATTTTATACCCCAATAACAAGCAAAATGAAGCTTGAAATAGTAAATGAAATTTTAATTCCCTTGATGGAAATCTTACTTTGAAGATAGTTTAGTTAAACCCTTCATTTGCAGCTTCCTCCTTAATATGTCGTGATTTTCATGTCTTATTAAAAATAACGGAAATCATGCTAAAGATATAGACAAACAAATATAGAGATTTATGAAGAAACTTTAGAGAGTAAAACGCTAGAAAAAAGAAAATTTCACTACAAAAAATCTGGTATCACAAAGTTGCAGAAAATGTGGCTCAAATCCTAGGAGCGCAATCTGATCTCTAAGACAGCTGAAAGAAATAAAAAGTAATTAAACAGTACATAAAGCTACCAGCACTACACCTCCTTTTCACCTTTGCGTCACCAAAAAGTTCAATAAGTGAGGTCTGTGGCACAAATTCAAAACATACTCAAGGATGAAGAAACCAAACCAAATATACACAATACATCCCGTTGAAAGTAGGATCTAGAGGTAGAATGTACGACCTTCCCTCTACCCTAAGGAGAAGAGGGGTTGTTTACATGAAGACCCCAAGGTTGCAACAAGTTGTGAAAAATCAATGGACTCAAAGATGAATAGAGTTATTGATCGAATAACCTTTTGAGAACATATAATCAAAACATGTTAGCATTGATTTAGAACATAGCTGGGAGACCTAGATCATGTATATTTACTGTTGTCATCTATAAGTTCATTTTATCACTATATAACTATTTACTTCTCTATAGTAACATATTACACGATTCGCACCTCAACTAGCATTGGATGATTCTTATGTCAAGTGGACCTGTATACTGTAAACTTATCTTGAAAAATCACTCTTTCAAACAGGTTTTTCAGCTGGGTTTCCATCCAACAGGTTTGTTAATTAAAAAGCAAGGTTTTCAGAAGGAAAATTATAGCCCATGTAATGTGTTAGTTCGGTTTTCTGACCATGAAGCAATATCCAAGCATATCCCTACTCATTTGAGGGTTGACAGCTGACACCATCCTATTAACCAACCTGCTGCTATGTTGAAGATATGTTAATTAGGTGCTTTTAACTACAAGTCCAGCTACCCCTTCATTTAACAATTGCAAGATCCATGATCGAAAAGTTTTGGATGACCCAAGTGAACTTTCTGCACCCAATTTCAGTTTGTATAGGTTCAAAAGCCAATTAGACCAAATTAAATGTTCTCCATAACCTCGATAGAAGATACCCCGAAATCCTTAACCACAAGCAGATCACTAAGTTATAAAGCACCAAAATTCATCAAAATAAGGCCAGCAACTCCATCGCACACTCTTATTCATCAAGCACCAATCGCAAACTATCTCTGTTTCTCTCTCTATCCATCTATTTCTCTTATATCGTGCTCCCTCCATTCCAGAAATAAAAGTTCACTGAACAGCTTACAACCCATGTTGATATAGATTTGGAAGTTTCGATATCAAAAGTACCAACCACATCAAGTACCAAAAGTAAATAGTGCGGGTTTTCAATTTGCAACAACACCCATATCAAATTAGCATAAATCAAACTGTTTCATCGATACCACCAAACATCACCAACAAAGTAGATCAAAATCAAAGCAGATATCCTTGTAATCAATCAAGAAAACAGTTACAATCATAAAAGGGTGAATCAAAGTATCAATCTACAAGGGTACCTTCCAAATCAGCAAAGAAAGAAGAGTACACCGATTGGGAGTTGCTAAAACCCTATGATCGCTTCAACATTCAATAATTCAGTCATCAAAGTCTCCAAGAAGAGATGAAAAAGGGGCTAGAGAGAGAGACAGATAGACAGATAGATATAGAGATGTGTAAGGTGTGAAAAAATAATGGAAAGGAGGTATTGTGGGTGTAAAAATGAAGAGGGGGTGGGAAAAGGCACGAGGGTGTGTCTTCTGAAATACACACACACTGACACACTGGATACAGCACAAGTAAAGCACTGATGCTGTCTGGCTACCGTCACCTGCGGGTTATTTTATTTGACACGCGTCCTTTTCACCCTTTTCCTTTTTCTTTTTTCCTTTTTCTTTTGTTAATCTGCAGCACACACCCAAGCGCCTTTCCCGATTCCGCATCGCTTTTCCGGATAACCCTTTTATTTATACTTGTTGTACGCTGTCTGTATGATAATATTCTAATTAATATATATACTATTTTATAAAGCAAATTTAATAAAAATCTTAAAGTTTTAAAATTTTAAATGACCAAGATACTCTTTATATCACTTTTTTATTTTTTCACTTTTTCACCTCCTTCTCTTCTCATATACACTCACCCTTCACATACACTCACCTTCTCACAACCAATTTTTTTTTAAATTATAATTTTAAATTTATACTGTATACCCTTATAATTAGTTAATTAATTTCATTTACGTCATTTACTTTTAAATGTTTCATTTTAAACATTTATAAAATTAATATACATAATCGTATATCAATTAAAAAATATTTAAAAAATAYATTTTTATTTTAACAAGTTACACCATTATAATCGTCTCGTTAATACCTTCGAAATGAGTCCAATATTGAATATTTTTGACTTAATTATATTATTATATATTATATATACTGTGAAAATATTTTTTTTAATATTTACGATTTATACTTTTATAGTTATTTATTTATATATATATACTATCCAAATTGTACTGTATAATATGTTCTGAATTAATATGTTCTTGGGTTTTTTTGAAATATATATATATATATATATATTAATTCAACCTTAATCTGAGTTTCTGTACAAGAAAGAGGGTAAGCAGTTGAAATTTCATTCTAAAACCCATCTTTTTTGGTTTTTTCATGGCTTATGATCTGTCAAATTTGTAGTTTTATTTATTGATTTTGAGTGTTTATCTTAAAACTCAAGTTTCTTGGTTCTTTGCTCTTTGTGTAAATTGAACACATTTGTGGAGTCGTTTAAATATGTTGGATTTTAAATATATTGGATTATAAACTGTCATACAATTTTTTTCATCGATAGTCTGTAATTGGAATCATAACTCTTATTTATTCAAATTATATTAATATGTAAAGACCAAATGTAACATATATCATCGTTAAATCTTATCTTATAAAACCAGTAGAACTTCAAAATCGTTAAAATTCATGGCTCCCGCCGCATTGCGCGGGTACACAACTAGTATATATATATATATACGCTGTCTGTGTGATAATATTCTAATTAATATATATATGGCTAAAATCAAATATTAATCAATAACTTTGTCTTAACTTTAAAAACCATGGCAACCAATCAAATTTCATTCTTCTTGTAGGTTTATGTCATGCTCACATTTTAATTACAAGGGTATTTCAGTAAATTTATTTGATATGTAACTCCCAAACAATTAATGGGGAGTTACAAATCATCAAATCCAAAAATATATACATTTATAATATTAATAATTTTTGTTTTTAATCTTGATCTTCCATGTTTATTGTTTTATCAGTTTTTAATTTGCATAGAAAACACGGTAGTAAAAATTTTCGGTATCGATCAAGCTAATATAGATAAACGCATGGAAAATAAATCGACAACAGTGAGAAGATTAAAATGGTTTATGATGACAATCGGAATTTGAGGTCGGGAATTGAATAAATTAACCAAAGCAAATGTCTTGGAAATAGATTTTTATTTTTTTAGATTCGTTTTAATCGAAATTATGTTCATTACGATGTGTTGTGTTTTTTATAACTCATCTTGTATTGATATCTTTTTTCTTTAATTATTAAAATACGTACCTAATTCACATGTTCAAATGAGAGTACATGCACGGCTCATTTTCATATTGTCATATTACAGACTTTTATGAATCATGAACCATTGTGTTCATGTTACTTCTATCATATGAACACAAATGTTATTTTTTAAGCTTGATACCAAATCTTTATATTTGTGTAAGTGTTTGCACCCGGTGTTCATAGCATTGGGGTTATGTGTTCATATATATTTTATACGATATGAACAAGAGGTGAACACGATATGAACAAGGGGTGAACAACCATATAAGATCAGAAACATATATGAACAAGGGGTAAACCTTAAACAGTGTGGATGCAATGCATGTATAAAACTCCAATTGACAAAGGATCGCTCCTGAATGTGTTTATAATGAAGGAACTATTATTCACAAGCTTTTCATATTGTGTTCATACATGTTTATTTATTTATTTTATTTCGTATAACAGTTATTCTTTTTATGTTCATATTGTGTTTATAAATGCTATGCAGTCCAAGTTCATATATATGTCAAATTTTTGTTCGTATTTGACACAATGGTTCATATATATATATAGTTGTGTTCATATGGTTCTTATATTAACAAAAATAAATTAACAAAAATAAATTAACAAAAAAATCATAGAATTTTGATTTTGTAACTCCCAATTAATTAATGATATGGGAGTTACATAATTTTTTTACCTAAATACCCTTTTCAACATTGTTCACTTATCTTTATGCAATTTTGAATTTAAAAAAAAAAGTTTTAATCATGATTAATCACAACCGTTTATTGAAAGATTGAATGGCCAAAATCGGTTAACAAAGTTAACACAAAAACTTTGGTTAACATTTGATCTTAGCCCTATATATATATATATATATATATATATATATAGGCTGTTTATCAAATCCTTATTTAGGTAAGTGAACACTAAGTCACGTTACTTTACCGGATGAATATTGTAAGGACCTATAATCTTATCCGATAAAAGCGAGACAAGAACCAAAAGTCTTATCCGATAAGTGAGGGCGACGACTCTTACCATGGTAAACGCTTACCAGATAAATTGTTGCATATGATACCGGTTTGGTGGACTAAAATGTATACTTGGTAAGTAAATGATAGTGGTAAGTTTTACCAATAAACGCTTATCGGAAGTGTTTGGTAAACGGCCCCTTAAAAAACTTAAGAGTTAACCACAAATTTAGATCCTATGGTTTGGTTTGTTGAAAAGATCATTTTTAACGACAGGGACCATAGATGGTATTTTTGATAAACCATGGGGACCAAATTTGTAATTTACTCTAGAAACTTGTGTTTAAATACAAACAAGAGGAAACTATAAATTTGTCATCTTGCAGCGATTTTTGTTCCTTTTTCTAACGGGCGTTTAGCTTTTTCTGTTAAGTTTAATTAAAGGAGGGACATTATGGTCATTTTACCCGCTTTTTAATTTTGTGGTTTCTTAATTGTTAATATCTATACTATATTATAAAGCATTTGACAAAAATTCTTAAAAACCATTTTTTATGTGTAAAGTAATATTTATTAATGCATATTACTTAAAACTTAATTAAGATTGCAAGTAGATTGTGCGTAAGTACAACTTATTAAAGCTAGATATCTGAATTCGTGTAATTAACTGCAGATAAACATAATCAAATACA